TTCAGAAATTAGAGATTATTCTTCGACCACTATTTTGACCCAAAAATCCAAATTTGAAGAAAATTGCCAACCCGAAGGTATACTGTAACCTTAAGCTTACTTCAATAATCTGCTATTACGTTGTCATTTTGTAGATAAGCTCACAATACCAAAATGTGAAATGTTTAAATTAAGTGTCATTGTCAGAGAAAACCGGGCAGTACCAAAAGATCGAGGTTGGCCGTTTACATTCATCTTTTCACAGTATAAAAGCTATCTGAAAAGATTAACAACCATGGCATTTGCCGAGGTAGGCGTTCGTTTTTCTTCAAGATATCACCACATCATGATTTCGGCCTCTCAAGCAGTCTAAAATGGCTGAAATTTCGGGAAACTTTAGGTGAGCCTAAAAGATACTTCCTACAAATTCCAGAAACTCTTATTTTCGTGAGATAATATTTGTCCCCTGATTAGTTGATTGAGAAATATTAGAGGTCTTTCGCATTAATTCTACAGTTTTTACGAGGTGCCAAATATCGCCGCCGAATCATTAATGAACGTGACCCAAATTTTAGCCACTTTCAGTGAGTCGTTTTTCAAAAGTGCGGCAGTTTATTTCCACAGAAAGACATTTTTGTGATAGTCTTTTGCACTTTTATCAATATCCAGTTTAGTTAAAATTGGTATCTACAGGCAAATCAGAGTAATTGGTCTCTCAAAGTCCAAAAAAATTCATTAGCCAGAAATATTTCCTGCCAAATGTTTAGCGCAGAGTATCACCTCATACCGACTTTCTGCGATTGTTATCCATGATTTACTCAAATATTTGCAAAAAATAGTTAGCTGGACTGCAGAATAGAATATTTAAGCTGTGACATCGTTATTGAGTTATGGAAACATTTCAAACTGGCCAAATCCTTACCATTATTTAGGCTAAATTTTGCCACGAAATTCTATTTTTAACGTCTTGCTGCATGGGAAAACAGAGTGGATCCTCAGTTGGCTGGTCTCTTTTGCTGTTTAGTAGAATAAACTGCAAGTTAATAGTGAGCAAAGCTTTTCCCTGGATTTAATTTTGGGGCTTCGGCAAACCCCTTGTTTACATCGATTTTCTCGTTTTCGGAAGGCGTGACGCATTACAGATTCAACGGTCAGATGACAGGACTTCAAGATGTCGATCTCACCTAAAGGTTTTTCCTTGCTTTTGAAAATATTCGCTGTTCTTTCGGATCAACAAAATTGCCTAGCATTGCTGGTGGCGGGGCAGTTTTTTTTTTCAATTATTAGCATGCAAACGAGATAGTCGAGGAAAGACGACAGAGGTGGTGTCTATTTGCCACAACCTAATGTAAACAATGAGGAAATACAGCTCCCTGCTCTCCGGCCCACCAAAGGATCAAAAAGGACAGACGACTGGGATAAACATCTCAATACGTGTAATCGTTGCTAGGCCAGTATTGCCAGAGGAAATCTTTCTTGCGTTTAATGTTGCCGTTTGAATCATCGCAGGTTAGTACAGCGTCTTGTTTTTCGCTCTGGAACTTTTACTTTCAACAAAAGTAACATAATGTTGCTTCTGTCAATATTGACCACAAAACCCCTTCAATGCAACGAAATTACATGCAAATTTGTATTGATAATTTCTTGTTAACTTTACTGCTGTTGTTGTCAGAGTTCATAAAGAACGAGATCGCAATATTTTTGTGATCCATGAGAATGTAAATTGAATTACATTTTGCACGCAACTAAGTTGCTCTGAAGATTAATTGAGATAGTTTTAACGTGGTTCATGAAAAAAGTCTTGCGGAGGCAAATTCATTTTCATTAACCCTGCCAAAATGCAGTTGTATTCGTGCTAAGGTAAATGGGACGGTAGCTCAAGAATATCTACAAAAACAAGATGGTTCAACTGATCTGAATCTCTAAAATAAAAGGAATAATGACTGAGTGGATTGTTAAAAAAGAAACGATATTTTTCCAGAGGGTAGTGTTTTTATCTTTCCTGCCCCATTCAAGGAGGATGCAGGGGTGGAACGAGGTGCCATGACAGTGGCAATGGAGAAAGGACAACCCCCATCTCACTACCACCCACACCTTGTTGTTTGCAAGGGGGTGGAAGAAAACGACATTTCAATTTCATTTAGTTTTCTAACGACTCATTTGCCATTTACACGTAAGTCAGCTTAGTGTTTAGTTTTCATCATTTGGTTTTCTTTGGAGTTTTTTGGGCAACTTGCGAGATTGAAAACTCAGACCTTAGGCCAGTAAACTAACACGCCCGAAAACGAAAACTCAGACCCGAAAAAGTCAGACTGTCTTCGTGTCTCGAAAACTCAGACCCGACAAATGTGTTCGTGTTTACCGCGGATAACTTAAAGACGTCTTGTTTACAGTTCGTCGATACAATGTCACAGGCAGAATCGGCAGAGAGAGGAAAAAAAATTAGCCTGTGGTGGTACATTCCTCTCCTGGATCACGAAAATAACACCCAGGATTCGTATGGTTTTTCGGTTGCATTATAAGTATCATTATACATTGAACTCACTATCTCTTTTCTGACTGGCTGAAAGCGTACAGTGAATTTTTGAAATCAGCGCCTGTGACCTCATCTCTGCAGATTATACAATAACACGTCAAGGACACTCAAGGTCACGGGTAATCATGTCAAGTTCGCATGCTTTGTGTTACTTGCCGTTGGTGAAGGAGCAAAAACATGACTTCTATTTTTTTNCCTCAGCCTTCGGCTTCGGCTGATAACCCCTACCTCAACCTTGATTATTCTGGATATCACAAAAACCTCATCCAATGATTGTTTATAAACCAAGTATATATATCTACACACTACGGATCCATATTCTTCGATTAATTCTGTTAAATTCAGCAGATTTTTCCAGGTGTGAGTTTTCGAGACATCTTAAGAGACCTTTGAATCAGCTCCACAGCAAGTTGTCCTAAGTCAATTGCGTTCACGAGGTAATACCAAAGGAAATGAAACGGAAAACAAGACGGTGTACCAACCTGCGACAATACAAACGACAACAATGAACGTAAGAAAGACTTCCGCTGGCAATCTTGACCTTGCAACGACTACACGTATTGAGAAGTTTATTCAATTTTTTCACATTCCAGTCGTGATCCTTTCGTTGGCCAGATAGCGGCCTACGAAATCTGCATTGCTGTGTTTCATTGTTTATATTTGGCTGTGCCAAATAGACACCACCTCTGACGTCTTTCCTTGACTATCTCGTTTGCACGCTAATAATTGAAGAAAAACTGGCCTGCCATCAACAATGCTAGACGATTTTTCTCATCCGAAAGAACAGCTAATATTTTCAAAACTAAGGAAAAACCTTTAGGTAAGATAGACATTTCGAAGTTCTGTCATCTGACGGTTGAATCTGTTACGCGTCACGCCTTCCGAAAACGAGAAAATCGATGTAAACAAGGGGTTTGCCGAAGTTCCAAACTTAAAATTCAGGGAAAAGCCTCGTTCACTAATAACTTGCAGTTTGTTCTACTAAACACCAAGAGGCCAGCGAACTGAGGATCCACTCTGTTTTTCCATGCAGCGTGACGTTAAAAATAGAATTTTTGCGGCAAAATTTAGCCTAGATAATGGTAAGGATTTGTCAACTTGAAGTTTGAAATGTTTACATAAGTTAATAACGATTTCACAGCTTAAATATTCTATAATTCTGCAGTCCAGCTAACTATTTTTTGCAAATATTTTGGTAAATCATGGATAACAATCGCAGGACGTCAGTATAAGGTGATATTCTTCGCTAAAAATTTGGAGGGAAATATTTCTGGCTAATGAATTTTTTGGACTTTGCGAGACCAATTACTCCGATTTGCCTGTAGATACCAATTTTAACTAAACTGGATATTGATAACAGTGCAAAAGACTATCACAAAAATGTCTTTCTGTGGAAATAAACTGCCGCACTTTTGAAAAACGACTCACTGAAAATGGCTAAAATTTGGGTCACACTCATTCATGATTCAGCGGTGATATTTGGCACCTCGTGAAAACCATAAAATTAATGCAAAGACCTCTAATATTTCTCAATCAACTAATAAGGGAACAAATATTATCTCATGAAAATAAGAGTTTCTGGAATTTGTAGGAAGTATCTTTTAGGCTCACCTAAAGTTGCCCGAAATGTTGATCATTTTAAACCGCTTAAGAGGCCAAAATCATGATGTGATTATATCTCGAAGAAGAACGAACCCCTACCTCTGCAAATGTCATAGTTGTTAATCTTTTCGGATAGCTTTTATACTGTGAAAAGATGAATGTAAACGGCCGACCTTGATCTTTTGGTACTGCCCAGTTTTCTCTGACAATGACTCTTAATACTTCTTGGCATAATCAATCATAGTTTTCTTAAATTACATATTATATTGATATTATCATTATTTAGATAACCCAGCACTTGTATTCAAAACGCTTGGTAAGATTGCAAAACGAGAGACTTCTCCAAACAGTGATGAGGAGGGTGAGTTACAAGTAGCTCAAGTTGAAGCTTTGTACATGTAGCAACCAAGGAACAAGGACACACAGCAAAACAGTAAAACATAAGTTCTATGGAAAAAGGTTTGCCACTGACTCTTGATATTTTTCAACAGATGTTTTGGCTAATACTTAAGCCTTCATCAGTGATATGAAAGCGAAGTTCGTTGTCATATGCTATTTAAAGTAATGTAACACAAAGCTTCCATGCATGACCATATAATTCATGCTCGCGCGATGCCTTTGTAGGCTTCTGGAAGTACGATATGATCGTTCCCAGCATTCGGGTCCAAAGTAGAGTGTCAGGCTTCGACGAAAAGTCTCTCGTGGTAAGTAGCTTTGAAACCAGCGACCTTGACGTTTTCAAAGTTTATGTTCTGGTTGAAATGGTGGACATGGCTTGCAACTTTGGAGTTTTGGTCAAAACCTGCCACTGCCTTTTTGTGCTCCGCAATTCAGGTCTTTAATGATCTTTCTGTTTGGCCGTAGTACACAAAATTACACTGTGTGCAATTGATTTTGAACACTATGCCTGATTTCTGGCGGTCAGAATCGTCTCGCTCTTTGGGGTGTGGAAAAAGGCTATTGATGGTTAGTTGTGGTTTGTAAGCTACTGTGACCTTTTGTTGTTTCAAACTGTGACCTATTTTCTCGGCCTTGCCCATTGGTGTTTGCTAGTTCCAAAGTGAACTGTATATTTGGGTTAATTGAGTTCAGATGTTTGAAACTCGTTGACTTGATCCTTTTGAAGCGATGACGTATTGTGTGACGTCATCGCTTCATGCTGGTGTGCTTGCATTCCTTTGGATAGTGATTTCGCATAGTTTCATTGCACTTATGTCCATCGCGCTTATGTTGCACACAATTCACCCCTCTGTGGAAGGGAAAAACACTCTGGGAGGTAGTAAATAAGCACTGTGTGAGCATTGTATGAGCACTGAAATATCTGAAATTAACTTATGTGTGTGGGACCTGCGATAGGTCAAGGGTCCACATTAAATTTATGTATTGGTGAGCATTGTTTAGGGCCGAACTAAACATATCTGTGGACTGAAATAGTAGTGAAATTGAACTAGAATTGAAGAAGAGCATTGAAGAAGTTCGCTGTGAAAGCAGTTGAGATAGGAGAAAGCAATGGAGAATAGTGTTACAAAAAGGTGAGCCAGCTGAAGGTTTTGTCTTTATCAGAACTGGTTAATGTAGCTTAGATTATGGTCTCTTTGATGCAATACAGAGCAGCAGTTGGGTAACACAACATTTACATGAAAGCCAAAGAATATTCAAGTGGTGCAAGAGGGAAGTTCTGGTTAATTATGCCATTGTTTACATTTTACCTGGAGGCAATGCAATGTATCTTTCAACTTTAAAAAAGGTAATATACTGAAGAACTAATCCTTTTTCTGTAATGAAAACAGCTTATAGCTGCCACGCATGATAAGAGCAGGTCTAGCTGTGGTTTGTGAAAAACAACTAGAAGAGTCTCGAAGACGTGATTTAACCACAGGATTTTCAGCTGAAAAACATTCACAATGGAAAACAGGTTATTTTTGTAACAAAACAGAAGGTTTACAGTAGTGATAATGAATTCAAGTTACAATTCATTTGCAGATTTTAGTTTTTTGTAAAGTTTTACAAATGTATTTTAAATTTTCTCTCAACGGAAGAGTGGTTGTGATTAAACAATAGATAATGGTTTTGTCAGTGGTAAATCAATAGGAAGGTTCATTAAAAACAGCGATAAGGTGAAAAACATTAATTAATTTCCAGTGAGGTAATTAGCGTTGCCAAAATTAATTTCTGTTATTTCAAGATAAGGTGTTGATTTCAGAGAGAAACAATGAAGATACTGTTTGTTGTTTTCAAGTTTGCGTATGTTGTTGATGTACTTTAAACAACACGTTTCACTTTATCCAGAGAGAAGCAAGTTTCTTCATTTCTTTGCAGCTTCTAGGATCAGCAGAAAGAGTTTGTTTGCCATCTTTGGTTTCCGGGAACTAGGAACTTATCCTTTGCAGCTGTCTTTTGCAGTTTGTAGGATCCATGGAGTGTCTTTAATTTCATTGTTTAAAATAATATTTTATTGTGGATTGTGGTTTATGCAATATCGGATAAATTTGCACTCACCGGCAAACTGATAATACGAACACATTATCTATACATACAAGCAAGCAAGTTGCACACACGATAGGTCAAGGATCAACATTAAATTTACGTATTGGTGAGCGCTGTTTAGCCCAGACTTTTTGCTGTCTTGAGGTGAATTCAATTGAATGAGCACTGTCAGAGCAGTGTATGAGCACTGAAATATCTGAACTTAACTTATCTGTGAACTGAAATAAACTGTATTGGTGAAAGTCTGGATCTGCCACTGGATTTCTCTTGGGGACATCTATCACAATATTCTTTTACATTGTTTTATTTCATAAAAATTTTTAAGTCTCACTTCCGGTCATTTCGAAAAGTAAACAAAAGGGAGAAAGGTGAATTGCATTATTCAGTTCAAAGAGGAACAATTGAACAAAGGGAACAAGTGAGCTTGCAATGCAAGTGATCACTTGGACTCTCAAAACCCTACTATGCAAAGCTACTTACCATACAGCTACTTCCCACACAGGTTGTACCTTACTTTTACTTTTAATTAAGTTTAATCATCAGCCTGTCTGTTTATGTTCCAATTTTCTTAGAACAATTTTAGAAATAACACATACACTTCATCGCTTCTGCATGCATTGCATGCCATTTATTTAAACAAGAATGACTATCGTCAACATTGCGAAACCACCATTTAGGAGGATGCAGGAATGTGGATATCGCCGTTTCCTCAATTTCTTCCATAACCATTTATGGAACTAGAAAACACCAATGGGCAGGGCTTACCTTTTCTTGACACCATTACAAGAAGATGCAGCACAAATATTCAAGTGGATGTTTACAGAAAACCAACAAACACTGACCGTTATCTCGATTTATTTTTGTGTCACAAAACATCCGTGGTCAACACTTTGCTGAAAAGAGCTAACAATATTCCGTCAACGAATGAAGGAAAACGAGAAGAAACACAACAAGTCAAAGCCGTTCTGCGAGATAACAATCACTGGTATCTCATGTCTTTTATTCAAAACTGCAAGAGGGCATTAACCTAACAACCCGCTGAGAACAACTTCAATTGCTTTTTTTGTAGTGCTGCCGTATGTCCAGGGCATTTCCGAGAAAATAGGTCGCATTTTGAAAAAGCAAAAGGTCAAAGTAGCTTACAAACCACAACTAACCATCAATAGCCTTCTTCCGTGCCCCAAAGAGCGAGATGATTCTGACCGCCAGAAATCAGGCATAGTGTTCAAAATCAATTGCACACAGTGTAATTTTGTGTACTATGGCCAAACAGAAAAACCATTTAAGAACTGAATTGCTGAGTGCAAAAAGGCAGTGGCAGGTTTTGACCAAAACTCCAAAGTTGCAAGCCATGTCCACCATTTCAACCAGAACATAAACTTTGAAATTGTCAAGGTCGTTGGTTTCGAAGCTAATTACCACAAGTGACTTTTCCTCAAAGCCTGGCACTCTACATTGGACCTGAACGCCTGGAACGATCATATCATACTTCCAGAAGCCTACAAAGGCATCGTGCAAGCATGAATTATATGGTCACATGCGCAAGCTTTGCGTTACGTTACTTTAAATAGTGTATGACAATGAACTTCGCTTTCATATCACTGATGAAGGCTTAAGCATTAGCCGAAACACCTGTTGAAAAATACATTGTATCAAGAGTCAGTGGCAAACCTTTTTCCATAGAACTTATGACATCTCCTGACTACACTTTTTCCATTTTTAAACACAGTAAAACATAAGTTTAGTTCAATGTTTGCACTAAAGTGGAATGTCTTTCTCTTGTCATTCTCATTTGTTTTTTTTAGCTCTGGAGGCATTGTTTGGTCCAGACTTTGATTTAGTAACCAGTGCAAGATTCCTTCCCAAGACTGTACTAGGTATATGTTGTATAATTATTATCAGGCTTTTCTAATTAAGAAATAGACCACTCTTCCTCTTTGGGTTTACCAGTGCAATAAACCATGCAGGATGTTGGGAGAACACAAGAAAAGCTTGTAAATCACTCGCCAATGGCTTGTGATTTATAAGCTTTTCAAGTGTCCACCCAACATTCCAAGTGCTTTATTGCACTGGTAAACCCATAGAAAGAGTGGTCTATTACTTTTATGAAATAACTATTTGGAAAACTATGCAAATGAGGGCAAAATTTATTGTCCTTTTGTGATCAAGTTGCTTATTCTCATCAAATTCAAGAGCTGATGCAACAAACCAATCACAACGACTGACACAATAAAAGCACAGACTTGGCACCAGACACAAAATTTGCAGAGCAAAGCAAGGAAAACATTTTGCGCTTAGAAAGTTTTAAGAAAAGAAAGGAAAAGGTTACCGGTGAAAGGCAGAAAATATGTAACACTTGAAGTGCCACTGAAACAAAATTTGTGTATCCTATTTTGTCACTCAATCTATAGTTTCAATTGTGTTTATAATCTTGTTGAACTTTATTTTTGTCAAATTGTAATGGAAAGTGCTGTTTTTAGCTGCCGAAATAGACTTTTCGCAGTAAAACTGTGTTCGGGTTTAAGGACCTTGTGAGGTCACTGGTTCACTTGATTTATCCAAGTTTATTCTTCATATTGTTATTACCCACTAATTTTCTACCTCATAATTTCTGTCCAGCCTTGATGGAAAATACACATTATAGACATTAGAGTTTAGATTCACCAAAATGAATGCAACAGATTGGAACAATTTTGTACACCTTTAAAACCCTCTTGAGTACACAATTAGAGACTTCGAAGACAAGAGTGGTATCTTTTACATCAAGACCTGAAGCCTAAACATGATATACTGTTGCTTATTTTCAGCCTGGATCTGAAATTTGGATTGTCACGTTTATCTTAAGGTATATTAACTAGGTTTGAATTTATCCTTGCCAACTTTACTTCATTGAAAGTGGTAAGCACATCAGTCATCTGCACAATCTCAAAGTTATTTTCGGTCCACAAGCTTTGAGTCAATTCCTTGATTGCATACAGAGCGCATCATTTTATGATACTAGAAGTGAGAGTTAATGTGGTAGATGAAGAGATTAACCTATAGAAACTGTGATCTGCAGCAGGGTTTTCTTTACCGCCGCACACATATCAGTGTATTACAGCGGGAATTTCACTTCTTTTAACATATACTTATGTCTATGATCTTCATTAAATAGTATCCAAGTTCAAAGTAATTTGTAAGAACATCACTTGTTTAGACTCCGGTCCAAGGTTTAAACAAAACATTTGAACTAATTTGCATCTATAACCTTTCACCACCAACAGTGTCATGCTTTCTCTCGTTTCCTGAAAACAAGGAAACTTAGCAGCTTAGCTAAGTCGACCCTGGAGGAGTTATCAAATACCATTTCGTTGAAATTTTTAATTGAAATGTTATAGTGAAATTACATGCTACCCAATTTAGGAGCTCATTTCATTTTTTTTTCTTTAGTACGTCCGATTACCATACTAATGTTTTGTAGTCCTTTTATTTTGCTCGGTACGCTGTTTTGTATTTTTTGGCTCATTTAATTAACCTCCTCTTTCTACTTTGATTAGCTCTGCTACAAAAACACTGCAGTACGATAATTAACCTCCTCTTCCTTCTTTGATTAGCTCTTGTACGAAAACACTGCAGTACGAGGAGTACTGACATACTACAGATATGTCAAAATACTTTGATGTCAACACCACCACCGTAGTTAAATATTTAGATAGCGGGAACACTGCCGTACAAGGCGTACTAACTTACTAAGGCTACATTGCAACACTTAGATAACAAGAACACTGCCGTACGAGGCGTACTAACGTACTAAGGATCCTTTAAAATACTTAGATAACAAGAACGCTGCCGTACGAGGCATACTAATGTACTAAGGATAGATTACAACACCTAGATAACAAGAAAACTGTGGAACTAGGCGTACTAACATAATAAGGATCCTTTAAAATACTTAGATAATGGGAACACTGCTGTAGGAGGTGTACTAACGTACTAAGGATGCATTACAACACCTAGATAGCAAGAAAACTGCGGTACTAGGCGTACTAACATAATAAGGGTTCTTTAAAATACTTAGATAATGGGAACACTGCAGTACGAGGCGTAATAACGTACTAAGGATGCATTACAACACCTAGATAACAAGAAAACTTCCGTACTAGGCATACTAAAGCAATAAGGATTCTTTAAAATACCTAGGTAACGGGAACACTGTGGTACTAGGCATACTAACGTACTAAGGATACATTGTAATACTTGGATAACAAGATCATTGCCATACTAGCTGCAGTAACGTATTTGACCGTGACACATGCAAATACAAGACCGTCATTTATATTGTGACCATGATGAAATTAGGCGGGTACAAAAGTCAGACCGGATCAACTCGGACAGCCAGTCTGGGTCGGATCAACTCAGATCACGAAAAAAACATAAAATTAAATGAAACTGAAACTTTTACCCATTTGAAGGATAAAATTCTGGTCAAAAATGGGTCAAATTAAGAAAGACTCGCGACTTTTCCCCATGTTGTGCTGTGTAGTCAAGCCGCCATTTTGTATTCGAAGTGCCAGTTCCTCTCGGACTTGTCTCGTGTTCATCCATCCTTGATCCCGCCGCGTCGATCTCCACGATCATGCACCACTGTTTACTTCATGGGACAGAAGTTGATGCAAATGATCATTGCGATGTCTACATTCGCCGCAAGAGAAGTAGGAACTGACTCTGTCGCTCAAAGGAAGAGTGTACCAAACTGAGCAGTGACAATTACCTGCAATTCCGAAACGTTGACTGCAACTTATTTGCTGCGAACTGTTACGGTGTGTAACAAAGCCGATGGTAAAAAGTTGCCATATTAGATGATGCGCAAAATGAATCGTTCTTAAAGGAGAAAGTTACCGGAATCCAAGGAATACAAGAGCCATTCCAGAAAGTCCATAATTCAATACCATTAAAGATAGAGATCGAAAGCATCGATGGGAGATTTGCAGAGGAGATTAATGTCAAAACGGACTCAAAACGGGTGGGTATAAAACAAAGACCAAAGACCCAAATTGAAGACCCCTTCAAAATCGTTTTGAAATCGCTCGAAAGTAGCTCAAATATGGTTCTCGACCAAAGCAGAAACAAGAAACGTCAAGATTTGCAGTTATCAACCAATATTACCAGGAACTTCGTTTTATACAAACCCCACCGAAAGTAAAAAAACCCACACCTGTTCAAAACAGTTTTGAAATCGCCTGAAATCGCTCAAAAGTAGCTTGAACAAAATTCTTGGTTGATGCAGCAACAATGAAAAACAAGATTTATGGTTTTGAACAGTTGAAGAATTTGCAGTCTCAGTTGGTTCAAGCACTTTGAAGACAATTGCAAGACTAAATTGAGAGAATTGGGTATAAAAAATGAACAGGATCAGAAAAACATTTTGGCAAAGAAGTTTAGAATTGTTAAGAAAAGGAGGCATCTTTGACACCACAGATAACAGACCTGCGCAAACAATTGAAATCCACAAGAAATGATCTCGAAGAACAGGAAAGACTGACACTTGGCAGAGTACTACAGCTCTAAGTGCAGGTCCTACTTACATGACAATGGAAAGATGATACAAGACATATGGTAGATGACACCATAACAGCGTGAGCAAAGACTGCTATGTTAAAGATCATAGATGTTGCTGGCGTTCTTTCCAAGCACTTTGGTTACTCCACAGTGGTAACATCAAGGCCGTTATAAATCGCAGTATTCAACGAAATAAAAGGTCTCAATAATTATGTTTTAAAGCATCAATAGCTGAGGAGACTTTCCTGCACAACTCATTGAGTTTTGACCAAGAAGTTGAGCAACAATGGTGAGGTAGACCAGAAGCATATCACCTAGTCAAGGTGATATGCTTCTGGCTAGACCCAAGGATTTAGTGGAGGAGGTGGCTCAAAGAATGTATTCCTGCCCTTAGCAGTGGCCTACTGAAGTGGACAATAGGACACTTAAAATTGTTGTTGCATAAATTATGCAATCCCTGTGGTATTGAACTTTGTTTGAGCACTTGATATTTTTAACCAGTTGCCGGTAGTAATAAAATGGTGTTAGCTTGTTCAGCAAGAGTTTGCCTTATCTGCCAGTTATGAAGAGATTGTTGTATGTGACGATGCCGATTCAGGTCATCTAACCTGTTTTTAAGCCAAATGTTTAGTTTTTTATGAGCCTTCATGGCCTGCCAAAGTTGCCAAGGACTTTTTCCCACTGCCAAATACAACGTTGATCGTGGCCATCAGTAACCTGCGATAAGATCGCAGGTTAGGCCATCAGGGATGAACTGGATGAAATTCACCTAATATTCATGCAAAATTATACCTCTTTTAGTACCGCAGTGCTCTTGATATCATGGTATTTTAAAGGATTCTTAGTACATTATCACGTGGGAGTAAGGGATGGTAGAGTTCGGATTCGAGTTCAAATCAAGTTGGACTTCCAGCTGGAGTTGAGGTAGCTAGAAGTTAACAATATATCATTGTAGACTACCATCAGTAGCAGAATAGATACAAACCTTGTTCCCAAGCAACAAGGTTGAATTCAGATGTAGGCAATTAAATGATAGTTGTTTCATACATACCCCAGCCCCTCCCCCAAAAAACAATAATAATAATGATGATGATGATGATGATTAAAAAAACTAAGGACACAGACAGGGCAAATTTTGACCGTGGCATGAAGAAAATGAAAATTGCCATGCAAACTAAGCGAGAATGGCATTTTATTATCACCTTCCTGGTGCCTTTAATGCATAATGAGGTCAAGTTAAAAGTGAATGATGGCCCAAGTTTTTCAGTTTATGCGAGTGTTGCTTGATCAAGTGATTTAAAGTATAACATTGCTGTCACACACCAAGATATAGAGCAGG